AACTAGTTGTTAAACGTGACGCAAACTGGACGTGCGTTTCGTTTAACTGGCGCGTGGTTGTTTTGAAATTGTCCAGACAAGATTGAGCCGTTGGCTGAAATTCTCTAAGTACTATTTCTTTCACTTTTTCATAATTATTAAGATCATCATCACTTATATATGTGATAATATTAGACGATCTTTCTCCAAGTAGATTAAGAAGAATCTCTGATTTATATTTATCTGGCACACACTTAACTATAAATGCTCGTTCTAACGATGTAAAGAAGAATCCCCAATTTTCGGGTTTACTCGGCACTTTAATGGTCAATGTTCTAATGCTCTTAATCAAAGAATCTAGGGAATTATTAGATTCAATTAGCTCTATATTATTCTCTTTTGGCTCAGAACGAATGCGTGCAATTTCTAATTCAGTTTTTGTTCTCTCGACCTCCTTTGGCTCAGCACGAATACGTGCAATTTCTAGTTCAGTTTTTGCTCTCTCGAGCTTTATATTCTCTAACTTTAATTGTTTTGATTCTTCAGACTTGCGCTCTTCTACTATTAAACTTACTAGATCACTAACAGTTTCAGAGTCAGTTTTATATTTTTCACAACTTTTAATTATATCAATTAAGTTTACCACAGTCATATCATCACTAATCTCTAGATCTAGTTCACTGGCAATAAGCCTTAAATCATCTTTTTTACAATTCTTAAACATTGTAAATTAAAGTATTTTATAAAAAATCAAAACAATCCTACTTTGAATGGGAAGGCACGAATCCACAGTTTTCTCGTAACACTGTCCACAATGGTTATCTCTTGGAACTCAAAACGAAACTCTTTTCGTTAATTGTTTTAATTTTGCTGATTTTTTCTCCTGGTGAGCGGACCACTCATGTCGACGCTCAGGTAAATATGAACTCGCTCAATAAACAGAAAATAAGCGGACTGTAAATTCACAATATTTATTTATTATTATTTGGAAGAGAGCTTTTTTGTAGCTCGTTACAGCTCTCCTTCCACACACACTCTCTTTCTCTCTGTGTTACAAGTTATACTAGGTGGCGCTACAAATCCGTGCGGATACACATTCTTTTGAAATATGATCGATGTTTTACTTTTTAAAAAAGCTTTCCAAATTATTAAATAAATTTCTTTAAATGTCTAAAAAATTTACATTAAGTGCATAAAAGGAAAAGAAAACTTACTTAATTTGACGAGGTTGTAAATTTAAAAATATAACAATTAATTAGTTATGCGTTTGTAAAATGCAGCATAATTATCTAACTTCTATATTTCAAAACTCTTAACAAACAGCGATTAAGGTTATCGTTAGATTCTTACATAAATCTAAGCTTTTTTAAAACGATAATCACATTAGAAAAATACCGAATATTTGAATCTATATGCGAGGAAATATATTGTCATTGAAATGGTTTTCAAACAAATCCAATGAAAACAAATAAATCGGATATAAATAATATTTGAACTACTTTAAAGAGTTTGTAGGTATCAAGTTTCAATTTCAATTCTATACTTCACACTCGATTATAGCACCTTCACACCTTTGGCATGACCCTGGATTGAACTATTCAAGAAGAAATTTTAAAACTCGATATCAAGTAAACGAGTTTCTCAATATTATCTTACGTTTATTCTAAAAGATCTTTATGTCAATGGAAAAAAATAATTTTAAAATTGCCATTTTGTTCAACTTTAGTTTCAAAGCCTTGAAAATATCAAAGATATAATTTCAATTAAAATTGAAGTCTTTTAATGTCTTGTTGCATCTTTTTCGTGATTATTTGGTATAAATAGAGATGCTCTTGGGAAGGTAGTCATCATTGCTACAGTTTCTTAGCAAAGCTCTTCAAACTCACTAAAATGAACTACTTGGTAAGTATTCTGTTCCATTTTAAAGATTTTTAAATTATTCTCTCCTCAACCCATTTAAGTCCGACTTATTTAAATTTCAAACTAAGAGATAGAAGCCAAGTTAAAAACTGGTCGTAAAGTTTTTGATTAAAAATAATAGACATTTTCTTAGTTTAGTAATTAACAAATCTTTCGCGATAACTATTCTGTCATTTACAAGAGGTAGAAGTTTTTAATGCATTGTCTATTTTTGAAATAGGTGATAGCAAAATGTTTTGGCCACTGGTTTTTATTTATTTGAAATAAATGCATGGCGAACCATTGGGTAAATGTAATAGTTTTAAGCCCTAATACTGAAATCGTCTTTTTAATTTAACAGTTTTAAACAATATCTTCTTTTATTTTATTTTATATCCGGCGTTGGACAACTGACTTATATTTGGGTTTAGGACCATCAATAAACACCGTCGCAGTTTTTAATTTTGATTGATACACAAAAGGGTAGGAAATCCTTAAATAAAACATTTTGGCAAACCAAACTTTGTGGAGGAATTTTTGATAGAATCAACCCAGATTTGCGTTATATTCAGCTGAAAACTTACGAAACCTCCCTGGTGAACTCAACTTCAAAGGGATTCTATCAAACGATCCGTATTGCACTGGAGATATTTTATGTCAGCATTGTGGTCGTTACAAATCGGAAAAAGAATTCATATCGAAAAAGTATCACTAGGATTCGAATAAGCACTCTATCCTCTAAGTTACTGAGGCTAAACCCTAATATCAAAATGATCCTTTTTTTTTTAAGTTTAATAGATTAAAAATGTAACACATTAAAATCTGATTTTTTTCAAATAATAGAATTAGATAAAGCAGCCACATTAAAAATTTATATCAATTTTTTGCTCTAAGATATTCTTTTTTTTTTGTTTGTTATTTAGTCGATTAGTTATAAAAAAAAGTTTATACCTACCTACCTTACCATTCATATGATGTATGATGCAGTAGCTATTTATGCATGATCCATATTTGAAATAGACTGATACCAACATACTTTTGTCATCACTTTTTATTTATTCGAAGTAAACACGTGACGAGTCTCACTCGCCAAATGGCGCCATTGAGTTTATATCGAAGTTTATAATATTTTATGTTCGCTTATTATTTAAAAACAATTAATTCTTGTACAGAAGCCAGCGTATGTATAGAGCTTAATCAAAAAAAAAAAAAAAAAAAAAAAAAAAAAAAAAAAACACTTCAATACATAACACTTTATGTACACAATATTTTTTCAACAGCAAGTGTTTAGTAAGATTTTACATGGTAAAACTGTTCGCATAATTTGAAAGGTCAAGCTTTCCGTTCGTTTCGATCAAAAATGAGCGTTTGAAGTTAATAACTTTTTTCTAGCATTAATACAATCAATTTTGATATCATAATATAGGATTGAAATGTTTATATTAGAATGCTTTTACTATTATAGTGGTATAGAAAAAGAAAAAAAAAAGGTTTTTAACTCCTTACGCTCATTTTGCAAAAGGCAAATTTTGCATGGTTGGAAAGGACACCATTTCTAAAAGTTTCAAGCATGATCTTTCAAATTGTGCCATCTGTTTTGCCTCCTGACAACTTCTAGAACATTTGCTGCTAAAAGAGAAATTGTTTGCATAGAGCTAGTATTGAAATTTTTTTTTTTAAATCTTGTTCAACCCCTGTACGTGTAACAATAAACAGGGGTGATTGTGAGTCCAAATCAAAATTCCGGAAAATTTCTTGAGTAAAAAAAAAAAAAAAAATTTTAAATTAAAAAATTAGAAAAAAAATTTAAACAAGGTTTTTTTCCTTTTTCTCAATATTTCTTAGTTTACTTAAAATATATTTAAAATTTCACGCATACCTATACCATTTACACATACCTATACCACTTACCTACACCTATGATGACCTGGAGAAGTAATTGAAATTTACAAATATGTCTTTCTTTCTTGAGTTTATGATTATAATAACTATTTACAGATAAAAATGAATATTAATCTAGAATATAAGCTTATCTGGCTCTCCCTTACAAACAAATAAAATAAACTGTGTTTTTAAGTTCCACCTTTGAAAATTCGATTTCCGGAAACTTTTGTGATCAATGATTTTTTGAAACGTCTGAACCTTCGATCTCCGGAAACTTCCGGATCACGGTTAGCAAAAAATCAGGAAATCGGGATTTTTTCGGCAGCACAATCAGCCCTGCAATAAATAAATAAAATTAAGTTAACACTTTAAACGAAGCCAATAAAAATAACACGCAGCTAAATATTTTTCATAAGTCGAAATGTCGAAGCAATTATTTTATATATTTTAATTAAATTTTATGATAATGTTAATACATTTAATTTTAGCTTGCTCTCTTGATTGTTGCTGCCGTTGTGGCTTGCTGCATGGCCCAGTGGGGATATTCTTCTTACAACTATAACAATCCTAAATATGGTTACCCAAGCTCTTATGGATATGGTTTTCAACGAAACTTTATGCCAAACCGTGGATATTACAACCAAGGATGGTACTAAAGGACTTGGACAAAGGTCAGTAGTTCTTCGTTTTTAAATTTTTGTAATGGATTATTGTATAACTATTGGAAGGATGGGGCACCTGAGGTAGCATAGAAGCCGCCATTTTTCCATCTGTCTTATAGAAGTTTAAATTAAATATTAAACTAATAACATGAAATTACAATTGTTAAACAACACGCAACTATGTAAGCCAAGTGTAAAACTAAAAGTTACATACCTATCAATTCATGGATATTAATACCATAGTAAAATGCTGCATTTTGTGAAGTCAAAGTCATTTGAGTATTAACGAGAATATATATTCATGAGTAAAAAAGTTCCAATATAATTTTTAAAATTAATGACAGCTAAAGTAAAAATTGATTAATGCCATTTAAATTTTTTAAAAATTGTCTTTTTTTGATTCAAATGTATGAAGAAAAAAATTTCAGATTTAAGTCTTCAAACATCAAAAATTGGTTTCATGGATTTTAAATATTCATCTCACAGAAATTTAAAATAAATATCGAAATAAATAATAACTGTATAATGAATATTTTTTTATTTCTCACTTAAAGAAATTAAAATTTTTTGTTCAAAATCACAACTTGGTCTTAGTGTGAATAAGTAGAATAAATATTTTTTTTAAATTTTTTCGTCTGTTTTTATGTTTATATTTATTTAAACATATTTTTAAATGCTTTTTTGTCAGATTTTCCGTACCAAAAACAACCCGTAATATTCAGTGAATTTACAATTCGATTTCATGTTTTTTTAATATTTTTATTTTGAGAAATGAAAATTGATAATTTCAGCAATGATATTTTCAATCTTTTAATTCAATTTTATTCAAATTTTAAGGTATAAGCTATATCGGAAATTCTTCCTTTAATTGAGACAATATCTCACCGATTTAGCTAAAGCTTAAAAACATAAATAAGTAAAATTCTATTTTTAATATTTTTCAATTTATAGTTCAAAATTATGTAAATTTTCAATTTTTTTTTCCGTACAATACATGAAAGTACAAAGATAATCACAAAAGTATGATCGCTTTTTTTCTCAAATACAAACTCCATGTATTTTCCATAATTTTATATATAATTTTAAGGAAAAACTTACTTAGGGGTAGAAATATTGAACATGATCACCATTTCTGTTGATACATTTTTATCGGGGCTCTGCCAGTTTATGTTTGCCCATGTCTTAGTAGCTCCCTACCAGGTACTTGAGAAAGCATTCAATCTCATCTTTAATTTCATTGCCAGTGATAACATATCACTGGTTTTTCATCGTTTGGTGATCCAGTGAATAAACATCCCCTTATCTCAGTACTTTATTATGCTATGATGCTTAGAAAAAATAAAACGTAACTTCAATAACTATATTTTGAATTCTTTTTTTCACAGTGAAAAAAATAAAACTATTACATGCAATTAATTCCACTTCAAACATATAAATACAAACACTCACCTTATAATTTTTTCAAGGAAACAAGGTGTTGCAAAGATAATCACAAATTCAAATATTTTTCCACAGAAGTCTGATCAGGTAATCCAAAACATTGCTAGATGACTTCCTATTGTTTGGCAGTAAGCTATTGTTACCAATCAATCTAAAGAAAAGGTTTCAAATTCTTATTTTTAATCAATATATATGAAATGTTCCTTCAATGGGTAGTGTTCATTCACTGGTTGGTTTACCCTAATAAAGAAAATTTTTAAAAATAGGATTTCATACACCAGCATTTTGTAATGCTCCAGTCTAGTTCTTCAACTCTTCAGTATTTTTTTTATCAGCCTGGCGTTGCTTGGCTTAATACAATTTAACAAAGTAGTTACAAACACTAAGGAAAAATAAATTTTTTGACTTTTCTTTGAATTATTTCGGCTAATTTTATCGAATATCCCTGGTTTTTATAGCCGATGGAATATATTTTCAGTTATGCGTTATTCTTTTATATAAAATATATTTCAAAATATAATATATATTTGAAATTAAAGAGAAAAATAAACAATTTAAATAAAAATATTGCGAGACCAAATTGATTGGGAAAAAATGTCGTATTTACAAATACAGATAAAATTTCCTGACTTTTCCTTGTTTTCCCCCCATTATTTTCTTCTGTTGTCCCCGTTTTTACGATTACTAGGCAGAGTGCAAAAATTAATTCAATCAGACTGAATTTGCTTAAACTTATTGTAATAAATTTTTAATAAGGCTATTTATAATAAACCATCACTGTTCAGAGCTATTAGCAAACTGCTTGAAATAAGTTAGGCTTATTGAGCAATGAATGTCATATTTTCAAATTAGGCGAAAAAGTATGTGAACTCACTACTGTAATTGACCTAAATTGACCTAAAAACTGTCAGGCTAATTAGAAAATATTACTTCTCCCATTTGCCCGTCGTATAGCGAATATCTGGAGTGTATTTGAAAAAAGACATAATATTCAACTAGCTAGGACACGTTTCCTATACTTTACATTTCATCCATTTATTAAAATGTAAAAATTAGGGTTATATTATTTCATTTTAATCCTTTTTATCATAACCAAAAATGTTTTAGTGTTCCCATTTAGAATGCAGTAATATATTATATGGAGAAAAAAGAATTTCCGAACAAAAGAAATTTTTTTAATTGAGTTCTTGCAACACAAGAAGTGAAGTGATTATGCCTAACCATGTAATTTTAATCAGATTTAATTGGATACCTGTTGGCGACGTCACGCGTCTGCGTCAAACCTGATTTACCCACGGTGACGTCACTTGCAGGTATATTTAATTGAATATTTTTTAACCTAAATTGTTTCCCTTCTTGAAATTTTATAAAAAGTTATTGCTTTTATCCATTCTAAAATTACTCCCAATTGCTTCATCGCTATCCAATATAAAAAAGGAAATTACAAAGGTAATAAATCATTATACAATATTAATTTATTTTTATTACTTATTTTAAAATATAAAACATAAAGAATTAAAGTGATTTTTACTTATATTTTCAGATTGGATAATGAATACGGTTTTTGAAACTTGACGAAGATATAATCCTCATGTCTGCAGACAACTTAATATATGCCAGTTTTTCTTGTAACTTTTTAATACTTTTCTAAATAAAGCATATAAAAAAGCATTAAAAATTGTTTGTGTTCTTACCTCAGGTACATTGTATAATTTATACATTGTATAATAGCATTTTTTATTTATTTGAAGAAACATATATAGAAAGAAAATTTCTCTTAAAGATCGTATAACCACATTAAAAGTTTTTTATTTAAACCCTGTATCCCCCCCCTTGTTCGATGTTAAATGATATTAAATTTTGAGTCGTTAGAAGATTTAATTTCCTGTTTTGAAAAAGTTAATAATTTTAAAAAAAAAGAAGCAACTAAAATTTACAAAATTTTAGGGACAATAGATTATACAAAATGTCTACAGTTGACGAGAAACTTAAACAAAATCTCTCTTAGTGGTTCCATTAATTACCACTTTTTTCCTTTTAAAAATTAATTCCTATTCCACTAATTTGTATCCACTTGGCAACCACAGGTGTCTAAAAATTGAAAAAGTAGTGACTTGTAAAATTCAAAAATTTTATTTTAAAAAAAAAAAGATTAAAACTAGCAACTTTCTATAATATATTTATAATATATTTATTTTCAGTTTACAATTGATAGCGAATGCGAAGAAATTTTTTGTTTTAAGGCATGAATAATTTGAAATTTAATCATAGTATTAGAGAGTTACGATTTAATAATTAAAAAGATGATAAATAAATAAAAATGAATTGAGTTTTTACCACATTTCACATTTTTAGTCGCCTGTGGCATTCCTGTACATATTGTAAACATTTTATCTTTGAAATTAGTTTGGCCAAAAATCTCAGTACTCCCAATGGTCCTCCAAAAATATACAAGTGGTAGCAAACTATTCATATGTATATATATATATNATAGAAATTTAATTTATAAACTTAAGGAATTTAAACTAACAATCAAATTTACTTAGAAAGTTATTTGTGTTACATTTAACATAACAGAAAATATTCTTACTCTTTTAAATTAGTAGTTATTACTTTTTCCCATCATCAATTCTTGTAAGATTTCCTGCTGCAATCATGAATTTTCATTCCAATTTACAAGGAAAATTTTTGCTGTGATTTCAGTGATTTTTCCCAAACCATACTTTGGCATATTTTGCATTCCTGCCTAGTTCATGCTAATATGTATTTATGTCTGCATGCATTCAGCATAGATAGAATTATTATTTTTTTTAAAAATTCTTTATCGATTTAATGGATTTCCAAGTTTCTGATTGATTAGAATGTAAATTTACTCATTCAAAGTTATTTATTGCTATATTTATTCTAGCAAAGAAGGAATATAATGAATAATTTTTATTAGTAATTTACTAAATCAATGTCAAACTATCTAATTTATTAAAGATGAAATGTGAAAAAAATGAATGTTTCACAATGTGATTTGATCTAGAGTTTTCTAATGGCTTAACTCTACTGTAAAGCATAATTTATGTATCTTTCAAAGGACTGTTATTAAACAATAGAAAAATTAACAGTTGTAAATTCAGAATTTTAAAAATCAAATTTTTTTACTAAAATTTAACTCAAATATGCATAAAGACAGTAATTTTTAAGTTTCTAGGATTGTATTACTGTATGTAGTATTTATAATTATAACAATAGTATTAGATAGCACCTATTTAAAGTTAAAAATTAGACATTATTGAAAAAATTTAGCCTTTGTTGTAAATTTTGAATATTTTATTTTACGCAATTTCTCTATAAATATATACACATATAATTAACATCATCATTCTTAAAAATTTTAATAACAAAACCAGTGAAATTAAAACACAGGATAAAAATGGAGAAATATTGACTAAAGCAAAATATATTTTGTAAATCTTAAGAAAGACGTGACATATAAATGATGTTTTTTAATGTAAAAATGAAGTACTTTACCATTGGAATAGATATATAAATATAAAACATACAAATAAAATTTTGCTTCTTCATTTAAAAAAAAAAATTTTTTATGTATACAGTAAAACCTCGCTACAACAATATTTTGCGGACCAAATAAGAATATTGTTGTAGAGGGATATATTGTTATATCGAGGGCCCACATAATTCTGGGTCGCAATAAGATTTTTTGAGTAATTTATAGTTGATAGGCTGCTAATTTATAGTTGATAGGTAATTTTGAGTTGATAGGCTGCTTGTGCTATATTGATGATTGATTGGAATTTTTTGTTTATAACCAGAACAAGATATTTTTGACAATGGAGGCAGTTTCATACAGTTGTTTGTATCAAATGGCCACTTCCTTTTAAGGACTAATCTCTTTTCCCCAAGGTCAGATTCGTTGGAGAAATAGTTCCCACTTCACATATTTTTCTATTATCGACGAATCATCACAGACGAATCAGTTAATCCAGCTACGCGGCAGTATACTGAGATAGACTGTATTTCTAACTTTCTAACGTTGGAGAAATTGTTTATTCGAAATTGGTTTACTTAAAAATCCTGAAAAAATCATCGAAAAATAAGTCACAAAATTTTTTGCGACCGTTTAACACCCTGGTTAAACTAGAAATTGTCGTTTGCATTGCTTTCAGTCTGAACAATGATTGTTAAAATTTCTTCTCAACCTGAGATAAATGCTTAGTAACTTTTTTTTTAAAGTTTTATAAATCTAGTTCTAACGAAATTTTTGTTGTCTTTTTATAAAATTTAATTCTCGGTTGTCTAAATTTGATTTAAAGTAACTTGTTCAAATTCACGTATAAATAACTCAAACATGCATATAAGACGCCACTTTGTTCCATCACCTTTTGATGAGGTTTTTCAAAATTTTCAGAATTAACCAAAATTCTGCAATTCATGGAATCTCTTCTCTAAAGTTAATTTTTAGTGTAGCAGAAAGTGGAACGGCTAGCCTTTCTACAGACTTTAAATGCATAATAGTTTTTTAAGGACGTGATATTCTGACTTTTATTTTTATTCAATCCAATGACAAGAATGGAATACGTGCCAAAAAAGAATTAACAATTGGTTAGAAACTACTTTTAATAATAAAAAAAAATTTAAATTTATCAATTCATTGGATAATACAACCTTATGTTACAGTCAATAAAGATATAGTGAATTTTTGGATACTCTTTATAACTTCTCACATGTCTAATTGTAAAATACTGCATCTGATTGGTCCATTAAAATATAAAAAACTAATCATTTCTAATCGAATAACTGCCTCGATCACTTTGAATAAAATCCAATTAATCATTTCGATTAAAAGCTTCGGTTTAATATGTCAAAATATGAATAACTTCTAATCGAATTAATCGCTTCGATCACGTCGAATAAAATCTGACTAATCATTTCGATCAACAGTTTCAATGTAATATGTCAAAATATAAATAGCTAATCACTTCTAATCGAACTAATCGCTTCGATCGCTTTGAATAAAATCCAATTAATCATTTCGATTGAAAGCTTCTGTTTAATAGTTCAAAATATAAATAACTTATCACTTCTAATTAAACTAACCGCTTCGATCACCTCGAATAAAATCTGACTAATCATTTCGATTAAAAGTTTCAATTTAATGTGTCAAAATATAAATAACTAATCATTTCTTATCGAACTAATCGCTTCGATCACTTTGAATAAAATCCAATTAATCATTTCGATTAAAAGTTTCTGTTTAATATGTCAAAATATAAATAACTTATCCCTTCTAATTGAACTAATAGCTCTGATCACCTCGAATAAAATCTGACTAATCTTTTCGATAAAAAGATTCAATTTAAAATGTCAAAATATAAATAACTAATCTCTTCTAATCGAACTAATCGCTTCGATCACTTCGAATAAAATCTAACGAATCACTTCAATCATTTGCTCCTGATTTTTTCTTTTTTAGTTGATTATATCTGTGTAATTAGGAAAGCGATTCAAATTTGCGTATGAAATGAAATAAACTATTAATATATGCAAATGATTTTGTATTTTATATCTAAATTAGAAATATATGAAAGTATATAAAGAAAAACAATAGTGTCATATATGGTTCGACTGAACGAATTTTTTTTCTTCACAAACATGGTTTAATCTTGACCTTGAAAGCAATATGCAAATGAGACGAGATGCATCTCACGAACTCTAATTCTAAATTCACCAAACGTTTTATCTTTGTCTGAAGGCTACAGCCCAAAATAATAAGAGAGAATCTCATCTTCGTGTTGCCCCATTTGCACATAGTGGCCTTGAAATCAGTAGCATCCGTCTATTATTTTAACTCAAAATCCATTTGCCATCTTATCAGTAACTACTCCCTACATCCCCCCAAGTGCTATATAAGATGAAAGAAAGTAAAATAATAACAATAATTGCCAACTCCGAAGTCCGCAAGTTGGGACATTTTTGTCTATTATTTTTCATTTGTCCCACGTTGATAGTAGCCTTGAATCCCTCAATAATTGAAGGCCTTAGTAATTGTCAGGTGGGACAACTTCACTTCTGTTAATTTTGACATATACAGAGCAGTACGCCATAGTTTAAGTGCTTTAAACGCTAGTAAAAGTTTATAATTTTATGCTATACTCCGTATTATCGAAGAATCAAGACAAGCGACAAAAAAAAATCAAAATTAAAATTTTAGTATTTTTGTAAGATAAAGATAAATTTTTCATAAATCTGCATTTTTTGTGTTTTCTAAGAACCTATTTCAGCGTTTATAGCACTGCCAAAGAAAAAAATTCGTTGTCAAGACACTTTACTCGAAATCTATAGTGAAACAATTACATTGTTTTTTTTCCAATTGCATGCAGTGTATTATCCTGATGAAAAGTAGTGTCAGAATTCTAGAAAGAACAAATAGCTCAAATATTTTTTTTTTATAAAATAGTTAAACTTTCAAAAAAAAATTGCCAATTTAACAATGTTTTTCCACTTTTTGAAATTTATCAAAATAAATGAATAATTCGCATTAGTCGCATTCTTTATACATTCAAACAATGCAGCGTTAGAGTAACTTATCAAATATTATAAAATTGAATCAAGAGCAAAATTTTCC